AAGCAGGATACACGACTCATACTATGGCAGGGGTTCTGCAGAGGTTTTTTTGCGCGGCACGTATCGTGTAGACACAAGTTGAAGTTTGTAAGTCTACTTTTGCTACAACTAACGCACTTCTAGTAAAGGCTACAAGCGCTTACTATGTTTTCTAAATCACAGTTGTAATCAGGTATTGAAGTTAGTTTGGTGCAACGATAGCACGCGGAGCTAACGGGACGGGATCATGCTTCTCTCCGATCCAACGGGAACTTGCTCACTTTCGATTTAGCGGCAGGGCAAGGCCTACTCTTACCGCTGTGATGATGCTTCAACGCATCCGAGAGCTCCGCGCGCAGGAGGACCAAGCACGTGACTGCACGACTGTCGAACAGCTTCGTGCTCAAGCGACAACTCCCGTGGTGGGGAATCATATTCCAGCTCGAGCTACGATGCGACTTTATGGGAAGGCGTTGTTCGCGCGTGGAGTGCACCTGACAGTGTTCGACAACTGCTCGCCCGCTGAGTTCGCCGCGTCGAGCAAGGAACTTCAAAGCTTGACACACAGCGATCAGCAAAGTGTTGTCTTTCGCGTGACGGTATGGGGCGCTTCGTTGGGCGATCCTAAGTTTGTGGTGGGTGCGAAGCTTCGTCTGCGCGATATTCGCGACATCAGTATCTGGCACGGCATTTTGGGCGGCGTTTGCCACTACGAGGATATTGAGCGGCTCCGAGATTAAGCACCTCCCCCTCCCCGCAGTGCTATCATGAAGGTAGCTGCATCATGTTTACGTTTAGTGCACGGAACGTACACACCTTTTGCTGTCGTGTACGTCAAATGAAAACATTTACTGGTGTTGTAAATTGTCAATTATTTTTGTGCTTGTCTTAATATGGTCAACGCTATGGCAGCTTCGTGTTTCCAGCGACTGCTACCACCCCTTTAATTATGCAACCCACAGAGACGGAGTCAAACATCCTGTAGTTGAATCTAATGTGCTCTAACCGCTGTGTTTCCTTCATTGCGGCAGGAACGGGTGAGAAATACTTTAGTTTATTTAAAGATAGCTCCTCCATCAGATAGAGCTGTCGAAGAGACTTCACACGTGTTGTCGCTACATAGAACGAAGACTTCTGCGGAGAACGCCTTGTACAGTGCTGAAGAGGAGCCAAAATCATCTTTTCCAGAGTCATACCTTGGCACTTTTCCGTAGTGATCGAAAAAGCAGGCGTCAATGGGACTTGACTAATACAAATATTGAACGAACGATGTGGTAGCACCACATTCACGGACTTTTCAAGTCTCAACCGCACTGGTACAACTCCAACAGGAAGAAATGACACAAACTGCACGTGCTCATACCCTCGTAGTCTCACAAACACCGCCTCGGGTGGTGCTGAATGCATGACCTCCTCGTAGATTTCGTGCGTAATCGAGTTTGTTGCGTCAGTGTCGCTCACCACGAACCCAGCTACAACACCGATACTTCCATTCGCCAGTTTGAGAGCTCTTGATGCATTCTTTGTGCATTGGACGGGAGTCCCTAATGCGATTTCAAGGACGATGGGCATGTTCCCGGTCTTATCGTCACGAATGTTTCGAAGGGGCTTTTGTAAGTCCACCTCCAGCACCTTTTTCTTTCGAGAAGACGAGAGTTTTGTAGAGACATTCAGCATGCTGGATTGGCTAAAATGCGGTTTCGACCAATCATATTCACCTTTTTTTGCGCACAAACCCCACTATTAGTGTGATCCACAAAATACACTATCAGATAGCACCAGGTTTGTGGCACCGGGCGCCAGAGTACAGGAGGTACCCGGCCCCGACTCGATGCTAAACACATTGCGTAGTAACTCTATCGCACAAAACTTGCCGAAAACCCATAATATATTCGAACAACGTCAAAGGCGAATTCTGTTCCACTCCCCAATGCGCTTACAGCTTCCATTACTCAATTGACGCAGTGGTTACCAAGTTATGACCTTTCAAACATGTGCGTACAGTTGTGCACCTCGTTTTCGGCCTCGATGTAAATTTACACCAGGGATAATGTGTTCGGATTTGCGTACATTTATATACCTCAACCAAACCGTATAGAACGTCAAGTACTTATAATTTTCGTGAAATTGGAAAATTAACGTTAAGTTTAGCATGTTAACAGTTCTGATTGACTAAGAGGTATCTTGAAATTAAAAATACCCTTTTATTTTACATGTAAGTATTAATTTGTCAAATAGAACAAGCAAGAATCAGTTGTTTTATCTTTAAAAATGTCTTCAGTACCGTTTGTCATTGTTCGAACTTTAATAAAATTACCGTAAGGTACCCAAAGAAAAAAAATGGTGTTAGTTGTTTGTCAAAGTTCTGCTTGCATTTAACGGCACGGCAGGATTTTAAGCCAAGCGTCAACCAATGGGTGTCTCCATGGTTTGGTGCATGCATTGCCAGGACGCCATCAAAGAGGTTTTGCAGAACGTAGCTAGCTCCCTACAAAATTTCCAGACTTGTATGCGTCGGAGCTACTTTATACTCCTCCTATTTGCATGGATTTCTAAATTTGACAAGTGTTCAATTAAATAGTATGCGACTCGCTTATGAATTAAAGAGAGAAAAAACATCTCAGTTAAAATCCGCATTTGATTTGTTCATTTTACTTAATTAGCCGTAGTATCACCCCATTGCATGCAATAGTCTTCATGGAGACCATTCCGTTGAGTTCTTCATTGCGGAGTTCCTGAAAACGACGTTGAGTTCCCAAATACGCACGCCCCGTCGCATTTGTCTTCTCACTAGCCTCAATAGACAGTCCTGCCGCTGCAACTGCGTCCTCAGCTGCCTCTGCCAAGCTCTGTAAATCATCCTCGACGCTCTTGATTTTCTGGTTCTTCTCGATCTGGAGCTGTGCGTCATTTCACCGTTGATATTTGGATTGAAATCAAGCATTACTTCATTTATCATCCCAGCCTTCTCCATCTTTAAGTCTTCCAACCCCTATATTGCATGTTGCACATCAACTAAGGCACGCTCATGCACATTGACTAAGGCACGCCCCTTCTCCTCTTTTGTTAGGTCTTTCACGTTTAAGATGCAAGGTTTGTAAAATTATAGCGCGCACATCTCGTCCAGGAGGGCTTGAGTCATCTTGTCGATGGGGTGATTGTTGTGGAGTGAGCCTTCACAGCTAGCAATAGCTGTTTGAATGAATCTCAAGATCGCATTGGTTACAAAAAAACTAAGCTATGAAAGGTCACTACTCCGAACAAACTCCTAACTAGCGGTTTTAGATGTTCCGTGGTACCTGGACGGAACGTTTGTGAAACACCGACTTCATTTCATGAAAATAGGTACCTCGGCGACAAACTGACTTCGTTTCGTGAGCCGCCCTCTGGCGCGCCTTGCCAGCAATAGCCGGAAGGATGGCGAGCTGTCGCTTAATGGCGTCATGGGCCTGCTAAGCTCGGCTATCTATGAGGTGCTTGGAGCATCGCGTCGCGACAGCCTTTTTCACGGGATCCACAAGCAGATGGAACTCGTACTACGACAAGGGGGCTTCATCGCCGGGGCTACGGAGATAGGGATTCCTCTATAACATCATGGGAGTACAGGTAGTCGGTGTGCCGCAACGCCTAGGGGTGTATGTCAGGACCTTAAGATTTATGTGTAGCCTTTTTACCCGGCTAGGCAAGTAACGTTTTTTTAGCGTACCGTGGCATTCGGAGTAGTATAGTAGTAAGTGAGGTTATAAAATGCAATTAGTGTTTCTTACGAAGCGTGACAATAGCCATAAATCTTGCGGAATGTCTACATGCACGGAATTTTAGGCGATATGAAATCGTATAGCGGGTGGTTAGCGCCTCTACAAGCAGCGCTAGCGTTGTAAAATGCCAAGAACGGTCTTCCCCAATTAACCTTAACATATTTGACTTAAAGTGTCTCAGCGTGCCCAGTACTCCAGTAATATAGATATGAGTCTTGTGCTCGTCATGGAACATGTGCTAGACATCGCATCGCGAGTTTTGTTGCTGTCGTTGGGGGCACAATCCATGTTAGTAATTATAGCGTAACCAACCAGGAGCGCCTCGTCCAGTCGGTTTAAGTTTGGTTTGCGCTCATGTTCTGGCGGTAGTTGTCGCTATAAACGGTTAATTATACAAACCTAAATACACGATTGAAGTTGACACATTCCTTAGCGATGAATGTACGAACGACGTGATAACCGGAATGTGGTGCTCCACAGGCGATGCCATTATAACGTGTCTACCTAATCTCCATCTCGTGTAACCAATCACAGCTCGCGTATCCAGGGGGCCAGACATGGATGCAGACAAAAATCTGTTTCCACATCGTGTAAACGGGATCGGAGATCGGAGATTTTCCAGATTACCTCCAAGCTACACCCGTGATTGGTCGGTGGAGAGGCTCGCTCTTGGAAGAAGAGAGAGCGACACGTGCCGTATGGTGACACGGTTCTGGCCATACTTGCGCGTGCGCTGTACAAGGTTTGGTGACCCCGGATGAAGCTGCCCCCAAGGGAGGACCCCAAGTACCGAGCGAGTGCCAAAGCCCAAACAAGCGTAAACGTGCCTCCGGTCGCAGATGCGCGCCTCGCATAGACTGCTGTTGCAGCACAAGACGTTCCTGGGCTTCTTGATAGTAGTTTCAAAGCTGTCCTTCTTCCGTGTTGAAATGCAGGGCTCTGTCAGCAGGCCTCCCGAAAATGGCATTAATACCTAAGTCACCACATAAACAATGCATGTAGAACTCAGACAAGGAACCATGCATAATGGAAAATGCTGAGACCCTCGAAGCAATAATGCATTCAATTGCTTCTAGATTAAAATACCTAAATGCTTTCGTGCACTAACTGGGCATCACAGTAAGACCTGTTTACCTTTAAGAAGAGGATCATCTCGATCGACTGCGCCGAAAGCGAGTGGCGCTCCAGGCCAAACGTCGATCTCGCCATGCTGAAGTGACGCTCGGCCAGGGAGGGATGACGTTGATAAGCTCGTAGAGCTTGTCATCCGACGTCACCCGAGCCCGCTTCAGCACTGTTCAGCGAACCGTCGGTGCCCAGTTCCTCGGGCTCGCCCTCGTTCGTGCAGCTGCTAGCGTTGACCACGAACGGCCGCACCGCCATTTTCTCCTGTCTGGACAGCGCGTGCTGGTTGTCCTGCTGAATCTTGACGCAGGCAGACTCAAAGTCGGGAGACGCCACAATATCCGCCCGTGGTCCTAAAAATATAAAAAACAAGGTAGAAAAAATAAGTAGCAACAATAGCAGAAGCAATAAACGCGTACCAAGATATTGGTTGAGAGCAGGTTTCTCGGCGATTAGCGCGTCGAACATGACCCGCACCTCCCACAGCGATACCGACTCGGACTGTAAACGCTTGGACACTGATTCGAACTGCTTGAGGTCTTCCAGGAGGCCCTTGAGCTTTTTGTGCACGCTGGGAGACGGGAGCAGCTCCGCTACAGCATCGTCCTCGCGGTCGATGAACTCCAAAAGCCGTACGTAACGGTCGAGCATCGCAAAGGTGGAGCTCCAGCGAGTGTCGTTGCGCAGCACAGGGCTACGTGTCGTCTTGAAACTAATATATCAGTTTGAAAAGGGTTAGTAATCTGAAATAATAATAATAATACAATTGTAAACAGTATTCAAACAGTAGTAACCGTACCGTAGTTTCGCCGCTTGATTCAGACTTCTCAGCTTGACCATGAGCTTCTGGATACCAGCCAGCGCGTTCTCCAGTGGGGCCGTGTACAGTGGGACTGCCAGGTTTAGTCGGCGACTCGCGCAGCCCACCCATGATGCGAGCCAGACCGTTATTCACAGCACAGTTATCACTGATCAGAAAGCACACCTGGTTAATACTCTTACCAAACCTCTGCCGAATGGTGGAGATCGCTGCCAGGTGCATCTCCGCTCCGTTGTTAACCTCAATACCCGGTGCGTCTTCGCTTGGAGGCTGCACAACTGGGGCGAGGCAAAGCAGCGGGGTGTGAAGAACACCGTTGAGCTCATAGCAAGCGTAGACAGCAATGACATGCTCGGAAGCATGCGTCCAGTCGTCGAACAAGACGCCAATCTTGTCTAGCATCTCACAGCCAATCTTCACCTCGACGGCCCTGTTGACTGCCTCCATGTCGCCACAGAATGTTTCGACGCAGACCTGGCCTATGTTCGCGTATCTGTTGCAACAAATAAATATCCATCAGTAGTAAAACAGTCGTTAGTATATTAAACGATCCACGCTCAAAATAGTAATGAAAGTATTTACCGCCGCCCTTCAACGTTTGCGAGCAGGCGCTAACCCAAGTTGCCCATGATCACCCACTCGAGCCAGCCGAACCGGTTCTTGGCCTTGTGGTTGATCCAGGGCAGGATCGAACCCGTCGCGCCAGACCCAGCCGAGAGCATGTCCGCCTCAAAGCCAGGGTGCTTGACATGCTGGGTGAGGTTGCTGTAGCCCCGCCCGACAGCCTGCTTGAGCCGCGCTGGCAGACCGTGCATGCGAAGTACTCGGTGGGCTCGTCGTTGTCGTCCAGGCACGGCGAGAAGAAGAACAGTGCAACTTGTTTGTTGCTGAACCTGGGACGAGCTTGAGGGTTGGAGGGAACGAGGTTGAGCATTGCGGCAAGCTTGACGGGCAAAGGGTGGTGTTCTGTCTGAAGTAAACTGAAAAGTGAGAGGAAGTGGCAAACGTACTGTAGTGGGGCCAAGCTGTTGGCCATTGTGGTCCGTAGGCCGGAATGGTTGGTTTAGAATAACCGGAGAAAATAGTAATATTAGTTTTATGGTTTTTCTACTATCACATCAATTAAGCATTAATATAACATTGGCGCAGTAATAATTGCTGCATCTCCTCATACTTCTGCAATAAATAATTACGTGAAAAAATGTCGATTAATTTATCTACTAATTGATTTTTCGGGAGGCCTGTTAAGCACAACTTGCTCGTGCGGAACACGTCCACGAAAACGACGGTGGCACGACGAGCGAGTACCTCCCTGAATGCCTTCCCTGGTCCTGGTGTGTGACGGGGTATCCCATGTGGCCGGCTCCTAAGGCAAGGCCCTGGCTGAGCTGCAGCACGTCACGTACAGTCGTATGAAAGCCACATCGCCGCTTGGTCGGAGGCCGCCCGCGTTAGACTTCGAAAATCGGAGCAGCCCTGACCCAGCCAGACACGCGCGCTTCAAAAATTGCAATACGGTTAGTATGCGATGAATCCACGCTCGGAGGCGTCTCTGCGCCCCGCGCGCTCGCGGAGCTCGGGCGCGGCGCCTTGTGGCCCTCTCTCGACCACAACGCTTGCAAGTCGAATCCTGCCCAGCCTTGGTGGCATGGTAGCCCAGCGTGATGCGCGCTGTCAACCAACCGGAAAGCCTCGTTTCTAAATCGGAGCGATTCGTTTCTAATTGAAATGCGGTAGTCGCGATATAGACAAGGCGCCCTGATAACGCCTCGTCTACGCCACTTCAACCTGGAAAAGTATCTTCAACGCTGCAGCATAGACCAGGCCCGTCGACTTAGGCCGAAGTCGACATCACGCAGCCGATCCGCGTCCATCTAGGTCCGAGCACCAAGATTGACACGCCGGAGCAGTTACTGCGAACCAAATCTTCGAAGGCCGCCGCCAAGCAACCAACCCGACTCGCGTCTCTCTCACGTGTCAGCAGGTCCCGGGGCATCGTGGCAATCGGCCAGCAGGCCCGCAGCCGAGCAGACCGAGTTCGGGACAAGGCTCATTCCTCAACTAACCCAACCAAGAACAAGCAACAAAGCAACCCCCCCCCCCCCCCCCCCCCCCGCTCAAGCATGAGTCAAGTGCTGCAGCACCCGCGCGTCTTCACGTTCGTGAAGGGCGAGAGCAAGGGCGACGGCAGCATGAAGCCGCTGCTGGGCGGCAAGGGCGCCAACCTGTGCCAGATGGCGCGCAACGGCGTGAACGTGCCGCCCGGACTGACCATCACGACGGAGGTGTGCCAAGAATTCTACGCGGTGGGCGGGCGCCTGCCGGACGGCCTCATGGACGAGGTGCGCCAGGGCGTGCGCCTCATGGAGAAGGCACTGGGCGTGACGTTCGCCGACGGGGCCAATCCGCTGCTGGTGTCGGTGCGCTCCGGCGCGGCCATCTCGATGCCCGGCATGATGGACACGGTGCTGAACCTCGGTCTGAACGACGAGATCGTCCAGGGCGTGGCCAAGCGCGGCGGCGAGCGCTTCGCGTTCGACTGCTACCGGCGTCTGTTGCAGATGTTCGGCGACGTGGTGCTCGAGATCCCGCACGACGACTTCGAGGCCGAGCTGTCGGCCATGAAGCAGGCGCGCCACGTGACGTTCGACGTGGAGCTGACGGCCAGCGACCTGAAGGAGCTGGTGCAGAAGTACAAGAAGGTGTACGAGAGGCACGGCCGCTCGTTCCCGTCGGACCCGTGGGAGCAAATGCGCATGGGCATCGAGGCCGTGTTCCGCTCGTGGAACATCCCGCGCGCTGTCAAGTACCGCGAGATCAACAAGATCACGGGCCTCAAGGGCACGGCCGTGAACGTGCAGGCCATGGTGTACGGCAACATCAACGACCAGTCGTGCACGGGCGTGCTGTTCACGCGTAACCCGGCCAACGGCGAGAACAAGCTGTACGGCGAGTTCCTGCTGAACGCGCAGGGCGAGGACGTGGTGGCGGGCATCCGCACGCCGCAGCCCATCTCGGAGCTGGCGCAGAAGATGCCGACCGTGTACAAGCAGCTCGACGAGACCGTGCACACGCTGGAGACGCACTTCAAGGACGTGCAGGACACGGAGTTCACGGTGCAGGACGGCGTGCTGTTCATGCTGCAGACGCGCAACGGCAAGCGCACGGGCCCCGCCGCTCTGAAGATCGCCGTGGACATGTGGCGCGAGAAGCTAATCACGGAGGAAGAGGCCGTGATGCTCGTGGAGCCGCGCCACCTGGACCAGCTGCTGCACCCGAGCTTCGCCAACGAGAAGGGGTACCAGAAGGACGTGCTGTGCCGAGGCCTGCCGGCGTCTCCGGGCGCGGCCGTGGGCAAGATCGTGTTCACGGCGGCCGACGCGGAGGCGTGGTTCGCGCGCGGCGAGAACGTCATGCTGGTGCGCGAGGAGACGTCGCCCGAGGACGTGGGCGGCATGCACGCGGCCGAGGGCATCCTCACGTCTCGCGGCGGCATGACGTCGCACGCTGCCGTGGTGGCCCGCGGCTGGGGCAAGCCGTGCGTGTGCGGCTGCAGCGCGCTGTCCATCGACGCCAACAGCAAGACGATGCGCGTGCACACGTCGAGCGGCGCCGAGGTGGTGCTGCGCGAGGGCGACTACATCAGCGTGAACGGCACGTCGGGCGAGGTGATCAAGGGCGAGCAGGAGCTGCAGAAGGCTGCCATGAGCGGCGACCTGGCGCAGTTCATGAAGTGGGTGGACGCGCACCGCCGCATGGAGGTGTTCACGAACGCCGACACGCCCGAGGACGCCCGCGAGGCTCGCGCCCACGGCGCGCAGGGCATCGGCCTCACGCGCACGGAGCACATGTTCTTCAGCTCCGCGCAGCGTATCGCCGCCGTGCGACGCATGATCGGCGCCGTGGAGCTGGACTCGCCGGCGCAGCAGGAGGCGCTCGACGCGCTGTGCACGTTCCAGCAGGGCGACTTCGAAGGCATCTTCCGCGCCATGGACGGCCTCCCGGTGACCATCCGTATGCTGGACCCGCCGCTGCACGAGTTCCTGCCGCACGAGGGTAGCGCGCTGGACGAGCTGTGCGAGACGCTGTCCAAGGAGATGAAGGTGAGCAAGGTGACGGTGCAGTCGCGCCTGGCCGGCCTGAAGGAGGCGAACCCGATGATGGGTCTGCGCGGCTGCCGTCTGGGCATCGTACACCCGGGCATCACGGAGATGCAGGCCAAGGCCATCGCGGAGGCGGCCGTGAAGGTGGCCGGCGAGGGCATCTCGGTGCACCCGCACATCATGATCCCGCTGGTGGGCTCGTTCGAGGAGCTGGAGCAGCAGGTGAAGCTGGTCAAGTCGGTGGTGCAGGACGTGATCGGCAAGCGCGGCAAGTCGTTCGACTACAAGGTGGGCACGATGATCGAGGTGCCGCGCGGCGCGCTGCAGGCCGGCAAGCTGGCCGAGGTGGCCGAGTTCTTCTCGTTCGGCACGAACGACCTGACGCAGATGACGTTCGGCATCTCGCGCGACGACGCGCAGGCCAAGTTCCTGTCCTACTACGTGAAGCACGGCGTGCTGGAGAAGGACCCGTTCGAGACGCTGGACCAGGAGGGCGTGGGCGAGCTGGTGCGCCTGGCCGTGGAGCGCGGCCGCGCGACGCGCCCCAAGATCGAGCTGGGCATCTGCGGCGAGCACGGCGGCGACCCGCAGTCCATCGAGTTCTTCGAGAAGGTGGGCCTCAAGTACGTGTCGTGCTCGCCGATGCGCGTGATGATCGCCCGACTCGCGGCGGCGCAGGCGGCGCTCAAGCTCAAGAAGAGCTCGCCCGTGCCCGGCGCGTAGACAGCGACGACGACGACGATCACCACCACCACCAGTACTACTACTACGTCGGTGGCGATGAGAGCAAGTTACAAGAGAGGCCAGCTCGCGAAGCAAGCAAGTAAGCAAGTAAGTATGAGGCGCTCGTGTGCGCTTGTGCATGTGGGCATGTCCAGCAGTGTAGTTGTCGTAAAGTTGGGGCGGCCGCTATCGCTGCGCATTGTATTCAGTCTAATAAACGCGAAACATGGTTATAGGAAATGGTGGTTGCGTGTTAACGCTCGTGTGGGTAGATCCAAAGC